TATTCAACGTTCGATATGGCCAGTCAATTGGCATGTCTTCGGATGGATAATTTATCAAACATACAATGAGTATATGATAGGTGTCATTCCAATATTGGTTTCGAAAAACACAGTTGCATCTTTTTTTAATACTTGCTCGAACATGCGCAGCGTCTCGATATTCCATCAGCCATGTCTCTTTCTGTGTAATGTAGTAATCTCTACACTGATGTTCATCTTGACGAATGGCTACTTCCGAGTATTTAATAAGTAAGTGATTGAATAGGTGACAGATAAATCGGCCCACATGGTATATGCCTTAAGAAAAAATTACGAATCATTAAGTTATTCGACAGTGCTACAGCTGTTTGGCACACTTAGTAGAGTAAAATAACATACGTACAAGTAATATTTTGTTAATACTCATTTGTCACATACTTGGAACGAAGAAAGAGGTAGCAATATATTGTTGTGTCAAAAAGGTCGATATCAATACTTTCAGTTGGTCTTCCATCGGTATGAGATATCCCAAAGGAAAGTATGATTGAAGATACTTCAAATATTAACTTTAAGGTTACGAATTTCGAAAAGATCAGATATAAACATCTACCTTTCTAGAAGTTTATTATCGTAAACTACATACAGCTGAACTTTTCCTGTTGAAATATAATAATCATTATTCTATATATTTAAAACAAAAAATATTCGAAGGACTTATTTATGAATAAGTATTTTTATGTTTGTCATTTTTTGTTTAAATTTTAGGTTTCAATCATGAGTTTTTACGTAACCTAACTGATTTAGAATTGTCTTGATCCTGGGAAAATTAATCAAAATTAAAAATCTAAAATGAATCCTCGAGTTAAATCTTTGATTATACTGGTTAATAATGCAGGGTATTATCACATGAGTAATGTTTCGGACGAGCAATGTAAATGAAAATATACTTGTACTAACAGATAGATGGATGTAAGCGTTACTACGTGGTAGGAAATCATCATAAAAATGGGAATTAAAACTTCCTATGTTTTTGTTTCACTTTTATTTCTAAACAACGTTACTGCAGTTACTACAAGGATATTTTCAAACGAATACAATGAACAGACCATGGAGTTTAATAAAGCGCTATAGGGCGAAGCGCTATTTATAGGTACGCGTCGCCGGCCCCTCGGCCGGTACCGCCGCAACTGCTGTGTCCCTGCATTTTAAATTTGTACTATCTTGGAAAATATTCATTCAAATTACATGCTGTAAGAGCTTTATTGATCTATATCGAATACACAAGGTATTTAAGGTACTTCATTGGATAAGGATTAATGCTGTATTGCTTAAAATTGTTTCGTGAAAAAGTGAAGTATAAAAAATTGTTATTGTAAGTTATTCCATTGTGGGCTATATAACGTCGCGGTATCTCGTAGGATCCAGCCAACGTTTGCAATGTAAGCGCAAAAATGTGTTTATTTACGTCATCACATCAGAAACCTCTAAAATTATCAGTGTTTCTCTACTAGATCATGAATGTTATATACATATAAACATTCCTCTTGAATCACTCCAAACATCTAAGCATACATAGGGACAGATAGTAAGAACCAACTTTGTTTTATTCTATACTGTGTAGTAAAGAATAGAAGTGAATAAATTAAGTTTTATATTTCAGTTCATAGAGTCAAACTCTTATATTTATCATCATGAATTGAAGATTTACTAACCTCACAACCATAAATCAATATAATACTCATACTGTAATTCACTCATATTAATACAAAAAACAAGTTATTTTAGAATATTTCATTATTTAACGGCCATTGTCAATCACTTCAAGTATGTACAATTGAATAAGATTTGTTTTAATCGCGTCTTTGAATTTGAAATCAACTATTTGTAGCCATCACTTAATTATTGGTTACAGTTATCACAGTTATTTGTTGATTATAGGTGCAAATTGTATTATGTTTTGCGATTTTGAACAAGAAAATCTTCTCTTATTTCACAAGAAGCATGTGTTCGTACCAAAACACTATAAACACTTCATCAACTTTCAATCCTATGTTGACCTTCACCAACACTAGTTTTGAAATATGATCACTTATATTGAATTCCTCCCCTTGGCATTACCTGGGCCTTCCAGGGATGTTCGTTGAGAATGGAATATAAAAAACAATCTTGTCTAAAATATCTGGTGAATAATTTCTTTTCTACAGTCCACTTTAAATTATTGTTATGTAGTAAATCAGAGGACCTGAGTATTCATTTCACCATCCTATCAATCCATTTTTCCTCTAGTCTAAGAAAGTCGGAAGTAAATCATTAAAAGAACCATTCAGGTTTTTGGGATACGATCTTTGTTACAAACAAAAATATTCTCTGAGGAAAAAATCATTACATCTTCGCTTGGTAATTAAAAAATTGTACTATGAACACACACACACCTATAAATTTTGATTTGTTTCTATTCCTCCATATACATTACTGAATCTCGGTTAATTGAAAATTTATATTCACGGGCGGTATTAGAGATAAATATCGAATCAAGAAATGGTGTAAAATATTCATGAGTTACATTAGAATGAGATTGTAAATCGGGCATTATTTCCATATATTTAGTTGAACTGTAATAGTTGGAAACAATATTAGCCTCAGCCTAACTGAAAATTGATTGCCATTTATTGGCACATGAAAAAGTTTAGATTATTCATGTGCACACAAATTTATTCTATAAGTAATCTAGAGCTTTCGACAGTAGACAGTTTACATTTCATATCCAATTTAGTTAGTTCATGTGGAAATGAAGAGAGCTGCAAGTAAATTACGAAAACGATGCGCTGTCCATAAAAAAACCGATAGAAACCTGATCAACACTCTCCCAATTATCCATTCTTTCTAAAATTATATTCAGATTGTGAACATTAACCAATCATTGTAACCAAATACCTGAAGTGATTGAACTTACAGAGAAAACACAACATTTTGAGAAAATCGTAGATATTCCCAGAACATCCACAAACCAGAAAAGTTCAACCTTTTTAAGCGAAAGTTTAACCACCGAAATATTTTTCAAGTTTGGAAAAAGAAAACTTGATGGAGTGGAAATGTGAGGTGTTGGGCGCAGTTTATAACAATCATTATTATTAAAGGCCCAAACTACACTTTTGCACTGAAATATCCATCAGACACTCATTTTTTGTATTCAAATATTGCGCTTGGGATCGCACTTCAAAAGATAAGATCCTCACTTGTAACAGTCTTATGAAACAATAATTATACACGTCTTTATAACTTTCAAAAAATAAAGATAGGAAAGAATTCATATTCTCAAATTGTTTTCGAAAACAAGTTCAGTTTTGTTCTCACTAAATGCAGCCACTGAAATGTTTCAACCTAAAAGATTGAAGAGAGATACAAACAAGCTAACAAAAACGAAGGAAGCTCTAAAATGATATCATTAGGCTTGAATTTCTCATACCCTGCTGTTCGTAGTTCGAAGGAAATATCATTCAATATATGTTAGAGTATGCTCGCTGTATCAGATTATCTTGTGCTGTGAGGATGACTCCAAGGTTATTTGCTTATTCCACCAACTCAGTATTTCAGTGGGTGTGTTTCAACGTTGTGCCATCAAAATATATTACAATTGTCGTCTTCAATCGAACATTGATCAACCAAGATATGTACGCCAATGAAATAGTTTTTGTTTCGATGATCCATCCTGTAATCTTTACGCACTTGCCTCTTCAAGTCTTTGGCACAGTGACCAACGTGTACTATTAATAGACCTACCTCTTCAATGGCAACACTTCTTTGTGTGCCGATAACTAGTTATGCAACCATTTCAAGGCCAGAGAAAGTGGATTCGCGAGATTCAAAATGACCGTTACTTTGAAATCGAACGTTGCTGCTGTCTGCATTTTTTCTTGATCGGGTCTGGCTTTGATTCTGCCGAAATGCCAATAGGACACACATCCGTTTCCTTGCCTCAACTATCCAAATATTCTTATGAATCGGTTCTTATATAGAGTTGAAGTTGAAACCGGTTTATGTATGCGAACCTCAGTTCATATGACAGTGTGGATAATGAAGTTTTTCAAAAATGAACTCAGAAAGTAAAAAAAAAAGAGAATTTACGTATGTATGAATGTGAAATTGTTGGCTTTCATGTTCAGTAAGAAATATATGGTTGTGGTTGTGTATTATCGGGTTAGTTTCCAATGAATAGGACATTACGTTGCATTGGGTAATGTTGAGAATAAAAATATTATTTTGACACAATGTGGCTACACGATTTAAATGTAGGTACTTAATCCTCAAGTCATGTAATATTGTGAAAGAGTTTCAAATTATTTGCATACAAGAGAAAATCATCAATTTCAGCTACAATGTCATTAATGAAAACGTTGAACAATAAAGGCCCCAAATTTGACCCTTACGGTAAACCATAGGTGGATAAGTATTCGACAGACTTGCGGCCATTAAGTTAGACATACGCTCAACAATCTTGAAAATAAAACTTGAAACGATTGATTGAACTTATGATAGCTTAATGAGCAATATATTATAGTCAAATCGCCGATAACTTTAGAAAAGTATGTGTAAATACCATCAGAAATAAATTGTGTTGCTGATACAAGATTAGTTACAGTTGATCTTTCTTCCTTAAATATGTGTTGATTGGGATAATAATATTGCTTACATGATAGTAGACTGGCTTTTCCAGAAGCATCGTTGTNCGTGAGTTCGATTCCCGCCTCGACCAAATATTTTTCTTGAAAGAATTCATCTGGTTGAAGCTGGGATGATTCTGCAACCGTGTTAGGAATCACACGTTAAAAGGTAAGACCTCGTTAGTCCTTAGCTCGCACAAGTTTCTCAACTTCTGAGAATTGTCGTTCGTATGGGGGCGACAGCTGATTAACGGAGAAACAGATTTTAAACAGACAGATTCATTCCCGATTAGAATTCTATCATTTCGAGAATTTGACACTTGATGACCGTAACTAATTCCGTTATTTTTTTTCAGCCGTTCGAGCAGATCGGATGAGAGGCGGTCGAAATAAATTCGGGCCCATGTACAAGAGAGACAGAGCGAGGAAGCTGCAGATAATGCGACAACGGCAACTGGCTGTGCAAACCCTTCGCGGAGCTGGCCTCGGCGGAGACATCTACAGCAATCAGCCGGGCACGTCTCCCTTCGCCAACATCCACATCAAACAGGAAATCCAAATCCCCCAGGTGTCGTCCCTCACTTCGTCCCCGGACTCCTCGCCCAGTCCTATCGCCGTCGCGCTGGGTCAAGTGAACTCAGCTCTGGTGCAACCGGCGTCCAATCAGCAACCAGCTTTGCAGATCGTCGGCGTCCAAGGAGGTGGCGGGCACACTTCCATGGTCCTGGGACCCGACAATAAACTCTGGGGTCAGGCGAACTCCACCACGACATCACCTCATTCTCTTAGTCCGAAAGTGTTCCAATTCGAAAGTGTAGTTCAAGGTAGCGGCGTACCTTCGAATAAAGTATCGCCGATGATTCGAGACTTCGTTCAAGCCATAGACGATCGGGAATGGCAGAACTCGTTATATACGTTGTTACAGAATCAGACGTACAATCAGTGTGAAGTGGACCTCTTCGAACTTATGTGTAAAGTGTTGGACCAAAATCTCTTTTCTCAAGTGGATTGGGCGAGGAATTCGATATTCTTCAAAGATCTCAAGGTACAGTATTTGATAATAGCAATTAGATGATTTTAAATGGAAAGGGGAGTATTTTTAGGAAAGATTAGTTTTTGGGAAAAAAGCTTTTTGACTATCTACTTTTCCATTATAAACGAAAAAATGCGGAAAACGTAAGAAATCAATTAAGCAATTCACAAAGATGTGATGATCATGCATAGAAACTGGAAGAAAAAAATTCTTTCGAAACATCTACCTTCACATGCACATTGAATGACACGAAATCTCGAAATTAAAACTTATTTTTTATAATTTCGAAGCCAAAGTCAAGCTTTTTTTTTGAAAACTTCGAAATTGTTCTTGAACATCCAACACTCGAATTTTCGACTTGACTAATTTTCATTTTTCATTTGTTTTATCAACAAATTGGTAAGTAGGTACCTCACTGATGAATTTTTTCTCTAAAACTTCATATTTTTCACAAATATGGTCTATATCCCGCTCCACCACATTTGGAAATGTTTATCTGTTTATTCCAAGACCATGGATTTCTTCAAAATATTTTGATTTTGCTGTAGGATTAATTTAACGATTTAATTTAATGATTAATGAGTTAGTCAAGAAATAAAAACAGCCGAACATCTGAGGATTCGGATGTATTTTTTGAGAATCAACTTGTATTAAAGTAAAGCAATTCAGTTTATCATCAGAACATTGTTTTTAATGTAAAAGGTACGAGTTCAACAAGAAATTAATGAAGGAAAATCACAGATTAGGAATTCTGTTTACGTTTCATTGAAAGAATTTTCTATTACGTACATAATTCTTAGTGATTGCATGTTTATTGTTTTACGATAAAACTACCAATCTGTCTTTTCTCAAATAATATTGGAAGGGAGATTATTCCTGATTTTATAAAAATGACCGTTTGCAAATGTGTCGAACCTTGATATTTGTGAGATTGTAACAGAACCACTCTCCTGAAGGTATTTAAGGAAATGACACTCAGTTTTCATTAGATAATCATCAAGGTACAAAATAAAGTAGACTTAAGCTTGTCGCTCAATTGTCCGGCACAGCACGACACGGCGCTGTCCGTCGCCTAATGGCGACGGGTAGTAGCATCGCCCACTTGTCCAGATACAACCAGCATACTAAATACTAAAGGTGCTGTTTGTTCGATTTCAAGAGAATTTCACTTGACATCGGGCGGTGACAGAAATATGTCTACCACTAGCAGTTCTGACGAAGAAGTCGTCATTATTGTGGCTGCATTATTGAATTTAGAAGAACTAGTCACAAAAAAGAATATTGTGGATCCATCCCATTAATCAAAAGAGGGCAAATCTGGGAGAGTTTCATCATCTTTTCAACGATGTGAAAGAAGACGAGGAGACATTTTTCCAGTATTTCCGATCGGAGAGCTGGAATCCTTTCCGGAGGCGGACGGTGTTGGCTGTGCCGTGCCGGGCTAGTGGGCGTTGGTCCACGGATAGATAGGATTGGAACAATGAAAATGAATGGACATCCGCCCACTAGCCCGGCACAGTGGTGTCTAGTGGATTTCCTTTGAAATCGAACAAACGGCTCCTTCAGTATGCTGGTTGTAGCTGGACAAGTGGGCGATGCTACTACCCGTTGCCATCAGGCGACGGACAGCGCTGTGCTGTGCCGGACAAGTGAACGACAAGCCTTAGTATCACATATTTAAAAATGTAAATTTATGAGAATTTTTGTATGTTTATATGCATTTTTTCATAAATTAAAAATTAGTAACAGAAGATTTTTTTCAGTTTATTTATACTTGACGCTTTTGGAAATAGTATTAAATAAATAATTTAAAGTCTCATTTCAAGTAAATAATTTCGTATAACTCAGAAGATACTTGTGGTTTGTTATGCCAATTCAAAATGAAACATTTCAAGTAAATATTTCATTCTACACGATCAAACATCAATTAAAAAAAATTAGAAAATCATCTTCTAGACAATTGAATAAAAACAACCACTGAAATCCTTATTGAGTGTAACTATCAACAGGTATCCATTAGGCGAAATAATAGACGCGTTTATGTGATAATCATCCAACTTACCTAATTTAAACGAAAACTTCACAATTTTCAAGCTTATAGTCAAGAAGCAGATTGTTGTGATAAATTCTCACTAACATAATTTGAATTATTTATTTTCAATTATGGTGTATATGTACACAATACTGAAATTCTTATCCACAACGAAATATCAGCTGCCCTGAAAGCCTCAATATCGTTAATGAAATTCATTCTTATCTCGCGTTCTAAATGGGAACGCAACGTCGAGCTAATTCTGCTGACTGAAGCTTGTCTCAATTTTACAACTACATTTCGATTTTTAACGACCGTTTTCAAACTGAACGTGCTCAGAATGAGTTTCGACAATTCGTGTGCTCACATGGGATTTCCATTGAAAAACAAAACAAATGCCACTAGTTGACATCTTAGGCTTGTTTCACATTATGCAGTTTCGCCGGTGCGTTGAAAATGCTAGGGTTTGAAGGGATCGTTCCATGAATTTTTTTCACTAAATTCTCAAGGGATATCTGTTATTTCCAAGGATTTCAATATTTCAGTCAGAATTTTTAAATTGTGTGTAGGATTTTAGGTGTGTGATAGATAATTGTTCAAAGACAAGTGAAAGATTTTTTGAAAAATTCAAACTTACTTTTTAATGAAAGGGAAAAGTTCAAATGACCATTGATGAACCCCCAAATTCCAAAATTATACTCACTCATGAAACTATACTAACAGAGTTATCCAATTAGACCAGTGGTTTCCTTTGTCACTGTATCATTAGTGAAATTATCAGAAAGGCTAATCAGTATCATCCTGAACCATTGTGACTTTCATCCAAAATTCAGTCTACAAAATTCATATGACTTGATCAATAAAATAGAGAACATAACTCTACCAATATTACTGGAGTTTTTTCCCAACACCAAATCGTTATTTTTAACACCTCGACACGTGTTTCGATCACCAAGAGATCATCTTCAAAGAGGAAGATTAAAACTAAGAATAAGTGCGAGCTAATCCTATTTATGCTATAAAGGTAACCCATACAGATAAACCATCCAGGCGTACCAACCATACAGGTATACCAACCTAAATTAATTTTATAATTTTGCCTGTGTCCTTATGTAGTAATCAGTAAACCCAACAACATTATTTTATTTTATTTTAACAAGCTATATAGTATGCTCTTTGGTATATATAGCTTGTTAAAATAAAATAACGTTGCTGGGTTTACTGATTACTACATAAGGACACATTGCAAAAATAAATTTGGATAGGCAATATTGTGAAATTAATTTTTATATAGCTGAAAATTGTTTTATATAAGCATATATTGTAAAATAATAGATAAGGAAAAATTGTAAAATTAATTTAGGTTGGTATACCTGTATGGTTGGTACGCCTGGATGGTTTACCTGTATGGGTTACCTTTATAGCATAAATAGGATTAGCTCGCACTAGTTCTTAGTTTTAATCTTCCTCTTTGAAGATGATCACTTGGTGATCGAAACACGTGTCGAGGTGTTAAAGTAACGATTTGGTGTTGGGAAAAAACTCCAGTAATATTCATCACTACACCAAAAGTTCCAAACAGTGCATCATAAGTATAACTCTACCAGACAACGCAAAATTATTATCCTTCGATGTGCTGAATTTATTTACCAGCATAACTCCTGAGGATACTATTACTTTAGTAATAGAATTATTAGATAAAAATAGAGCTAACCCAGTTATGAAACAAGAAATCATTGACCTTCTGTCGTTATGTCTCAATCCAAATTATTTTCAATTCAACAACAATATCAATTCCTCTTCAAAATATTTAATTATGGAAAATCCGTTAAGCCCTTTATTTGCGGAAATTTTCATGGATAACCTAGAGAAATCGATTTTTAAACATCTTTTGATTAAGAATTTCTTGTATTGGCATAGATATGTGGATGACGTTGTTTTACAAGTACTGATAGACAATTAGATAATTTTCACAGGGATATTAACAAAATTCATGAAAACATTAAATTCACTATTCAATCAATTTCTTGGACTTATCAATTAGTATAATGAACAACAAACATGATTTTTCAATTCGTTATAAACCGTCCCATACGGATATTACTATACATTACGATTCTACCCATCCATATCATCACAAAGTAGCAGATTATAATATGTTCCTCTTTCAATAGATAATTTAAATAAAGAACTCAATATAATCAAGCAAATTGCAGTAAACAATGGGATTACTGCTGAATTAATAAACAAAATACTTTCCAAAAAAGTCTACGCAAAAGCGATTCAAGACGTTTCTCCTATTAATGAATTAGATAATCAAAATCAACATTATAGAGCTTTAATGCATTTTGGACAAACAACAGAAAAAGTGGCTTCAGTTTTGAGGAAATGAGATATCAAAATTACATATAGAACAAGTAATACGTTGGGAAAGTTAGTTAAAAATAATAAAGACAAAACATCCAAATTAGAAAAATCAGTAGTAAGTGTGGAACGTGTCCTAAGGTATATATTGGTCAAACTGGCATAACATTTGGGAATCGAATCCAGAAACATCATATGAGCTATGTAAATAAGAAAACAAGTTCAACATTTTCAAATCATCTTTAGAAGAAAATCATATCTTTAACGAGGAGTTCGAAATTTTACACATAAAATAAAGGTTCAAAAGTGAATCATTTGAAAAAAATAAACTTAAAAATTCAATCATTCTAATGAATGACCGACTGGATTTGAATAGATCACCATTATTTTACTTGTTTTCTAAAAAAAAAAACGAGGAAGTATCATTATGTAGTAGTTTATGAAAATAACAATTCAATAATTAATATTCTATATAGTAGTTCCGAAAGTAGTTCCTTAACTGATTTTGAACCAAAAGTTTCGTCTGTTACTGCCGCTGACATATTCAGTGGTATATGCATTGTGTGCGAGGACGAAGGTAGTATTTCGAAGACTCAGCAACGATACGTTTGGTAGT